GATTCCGATCGCAATCGGATCAGCCGCGATACACGACAATGGCTCCGTCGCGTCGGGTTCCGATTTCCGAGCATTGTTCGACGATAACGGGCGGGAACGACGTTTGAAAAAGTTTAACGAAAAACGCTCCGGGGCGTCGCGATCTTCCGCTTTATCCACGTCGAATATTATTGGAATCCAGAGACGGAAGCCCTCCACCTCTGCTCCGCGAAGTCGTGTTCACCGGAACAATTTATGGTCTTGTCGCTGCGGAGCCCCAAACAATGTATTTGGGAGCTTTAAAAATATAATTGGAGAAGTTCGTGGTCTTTGAAATAGAAATTGCTTGGTAGGTTTGTGGATAGAAATTGTTTCACTTTGAAGTTTCATTCGGTATGGGTAGTTTAAGGTTTAGGATGATTAACGACGCGATTGACGGGTATGCTTTTAGAGAAATCTAAAAGAATTTATTTATTTATTTTATGGGAAGGGATGCCTTCGATTTTTACGGTTCTAGATTGTTGACGGATTAGTAGGTCCGATTTCTAATATTGGCACTTCAAAATGTTAGGGTGGGACCGTTAATTGCAGACAATTACACTTTCACGTTCCGTTAGTCTCATAAGTATTCGTATCCTCTATATCTATTGAAGAACTTTGTCTAATTTAAACGATAGGCTTCTGTTTATTCAAATACAATTTTCCATTATAAATATATACATGAATAGAGGTTACAGATGCTTATGGGATTGACTGTAATTCTAAAAGAAAGGGTGTAGCAGTTAGGGTCTTAGCAATTATTAAGGGTAGAAAATAAATAATTTACTTTTTGTGGGTGGTAATTACAAACAACCCTGTGAGTGGCACCTATCAAAAATTCATACGACAGGGACTGGATATTTTCACTATAACAGTCTAATTGCTTATAAAAAAATGTTAAATAATAAATAGAATACTTTTAAGGAAAATTGTATGATATCGATTACAAAATTGTTGAAGCTGGTTGCCTCCTTGTCGTATGCATAGCTGTATCGATACGCCGGGACCGATTGCCTATCCTTATCCTGCTAGACCCTTTATTTCACGGGAAAGAGTGCGTTCACTTGTGAGGCATTTTGTTCTAAACTTGTAAGTCTGGTTCAGAAGCCCTGGACGCAATTAAACATACCCGAAAGGAATTCTTTCCGTTGGCATTGCTGTTCAGCTCGCGAGAAAACACAGCAAGTTTATCTGTCAGTCGCCCCGGTAACAAATTGAAGCACCGTCCTAGCGTGTAAACAGCGCACGCGAATTAGGGGCCGCTCGTTGAGAGACTCTCGGACGTGTTTACTCATCGGAATTCATATTAGCAGGGGTGCATGCACCTCGGGCGGAGCATTAGTGTGTTCCAGACAGCTTTTCTACTTCGGTCGCAGCTGCGACAGATGCGCTGCTCCGTACTACGAGGCGGAGCATGGCAGACATCGTGTTGTTTCTTCCAAATTGCTCATTGCGCGATATAATCGAGATTTTGGGTCGCTCTTATGGAAAAAGCTTTTCAGTTGGCGGCGAGATAAGTTTCTGTATCCAAGTGATAGGAAAAGTTCTCGAAAAGGAATCGAGACAGTTAAATATTAATATGTTTTGATATTTAGAAGTTATATAGATGCAAATGGTTTCACCCTCAAAGCGTGTAACTACCTCGGTCTTGCAAAAACAGTTGCAGAGTAAACTTCACGAATTTTTAACATGAAAGTTCGTATAGAAAAGTAACTGAACGAAATAAGAAAATCAAATTGTCTAACTTGCTTAATTACAGGTTTTATTAAAGTGCATGCGTACTTTAATCTCCGGCTTAATTTGATTTTTGAAATGACAATAAAAATTTTGTTTCAGACATTTTTTTATTTTATTGAGCACCTATCTACTAGCATTTTATACGTGTATCGAAACTACTAACAGACCTATCCCAGACCATCCTCTCTGGTCCCTTGATGTATGAAAAAAAAAAAAAAACTCGACACTCCTGACAAACGAAAAACAGATACAACAGCGCGAATGTGAAATATATCTGCGTAAATGTAACCGTGTATTACCCCAGTGAATCGAGGAGTAGGAGAGTGCCTTTTCGGTAGTGCACTCTATCGTAATCCAAAGATGGTAACTCCGTTTCGCGCTATAGTTGACAAAGTCGCCTCATGTCTCGATGCTCGACGCAAGGTCCCCCGCGAATTGCACGACACTTTGGAAATAGAAAGCTTTGCTATTCCGAAGCGCGGCTGTCGCGCTCGTGGCAAGGTACGTGACATAGTTCTCGATGGGGGACAGTCCCTAATGCTGACAGCTCGAAAATCGACAGTTTAGAGAAACGTGGATGCAACGTGCGAGGAAATTGAGGTGTCATCGAACATCGAAACGGATCTGGTCAAAATTTACGCCCGGCTCTCCCTTGTCGTTCTGAACTCTCGAATTTCTGCGTTTATTTTTCCCCGATACTTTTTCGTGATCGAATCCAGGATCGCGAGATCCTTCGATCGCAAGCGTGGAGAGAAAGCGTGACAGTTCGAAAAAAAAAAAAAGTATTCGAATTCGTATGCGCGACTCGTCGGGCGTCGATTTTGTTTCTTTCACTGGAATCTCGAGGTCTGAAAACGTCTGCACTTGAGGTTATCTCGGAACTGGGCGAAGAATGCTTTATGGTTTAGATACTAGAGGATGAATATTTTTTTATCCGCAGATCGTTCAATTAAGAATAGAATCTGGATTAGGGAATGAATTATTTCTTATTGAAGAAATTTGTCGAATTTAAATGAATTCTTCATGTTTCCAAACGAATTTCTTCAATAGAGGGTAGGAATATTTACGAGACTGACTGTATTTCAACGTTTGTTCCTTTTACAAAAATGATACACTTTCCCTAAAGATATTGTTCATTCCAAAGTATCGGTGTTCACAATTTTTTAGAACAAACGAATCTTTTCCGAAACCTGTAACGCGCAATCGGCAGTCTTCGCCAAGATCTTGTAATCCATCGAACAACTAATTGATAAACGCCGACGAGGGTCGCCGTAGCGGTAATAGCAGGTCGAGAATTTGGAAACGCTCGCGACGAACGGCTTCCCTAAATCATTTGTTGAGTTAATTTAGCCGCGTCCACGGCTAACTGGTTTCACTTCGCCGGGTGTTTCCGGTAGGTACGGTTGATTTGTCGCCTGGATGGGAAACCGAAAACCACAAAGTCCTTCGCCGCCTCGGAGGGTGCGAACATCGAGGAAACTCGAAATAATCTTGGAGCACAATTTAACGCGGCCAAACGCTACGCCGACCGAGCTTAATTACCAAGCCGGGACAGCGAACGACGGCAATTAAAAGTTTCGAAGCGGTCGATGCCCATATTTCGGGATCCCGCGGGTAGGCATATTCCCTATTTATGGATCCAGACATAACTGAAATTCTTATCTGGATTTCAGCCAAGGAGGTGCATTTCACTTTTTCTCCAAACTTCGTGAAAAGGACGTATATTCGGGTACCATCCCACTGTTAAAAATGTATTGATAGATGAGACGGATAGTAGGGGAAAGAAAGTAGCCAATGTTACTTATTAACAGGGTAGGGACTCCTTTTGCTACTTGAGATACATAACAGCTTAACCTTTTAGCCTACGATCCTTGGAGTCTTTCATAGGACGTGTCTAGATCGTGTTTTTCATGTTCATTCAAATACTGTATCACGATTCTCACACGTTGTTATAGGTTAAAAGTTTAGGGCGAACCAACATGGTTTTGCACCATCTTATGAGCTTATAAAGCATCGTTCCTATCATAATCAATTGCTTCATACCAATCCACTTCCAATATTTCATTAAAATGTCACTTTATACTCCTACTCATACTCCTCCTCCTACTCATCTCAGTTGAAATAAGTCTCCAAAAAGGTCTCATTTCATATTACTAAATCTACTTCTTGTCCCAACACTCCTCCGCACGTGAAAACTACCGTCGCCATGTTTACGCGCCGACTTATCCCCAGCTTCCGTCGCTTCTCGTTCGCCAAACTCGCGTCTTGCCGTTCCCGAAAGCTCTTCGAGGGTTCGATTTTTCCATTCGGGATTCGGGAACTCGCAACGCCGAAACCCGTCCTCAAACGAAGCGAGCGCTCCATCGAGTTGTCGAGAGGGTTGGCGAGCCGGTCGTGCTGCCAAATATGCGACGCGACGGTAAGCCCACAGTAGAATGGTATCCGAGAAATGCGTTTCACCGCTCGGCGACGAGAGAAGAAAACACGAAAGGGACGGAGCAGAGCTGTCTGTGAATTGTTTTTAAGGTTTCCTCGAGTGACGGGGGAACTCTGCGTTTTCGCAAAAAGCATTCGGATAGACGTACGTACATGCCCTGCGATTCTCGGATGTCGAACGGAGCCAGGAACATTCTCGAAGCTCCTTCACTGCTCAGTTTCGGTGATCCCTCGACATTGCGTCGCGGAGATGTGAAGACGACACTGTAAACTGAAGGCACCTTTGTACAGAACGACAGGATAGGAAGAGTAAAGAAAAATTGGAGAAATAAAAATGAAAAGACAAGTGTATTCACTTACAGACATTTCACTGGGAGAATATCTATATGTTAAATTGATTTATTAAATGATCAATTTTAAAATACGTTGTAAATTAGCAGAGGGATATATCCTGAATCTACCTCAGTGGTGAATTAATCTCAAAGAGACACGTTTAATGGTGACTAATCTACTCGTGATTAAAGCAATTTTTAAACTATTCCAACACACGAACAGTTTGTAGAAAGTGTTTCTCGGAACGAGGATTGACTTTTTCAACTAGTCTTCCACCGCGTTGGGCTTCGGCCGTGTTGATCGCACCATCAGTAGATAGTGTTCCTCGACATTATTATACATAGATCGTTCAAGAACCAATCGAGTTCGGAGGAAGTGCCATTAAGGGCGGAGTATGTGGGACGCGTAATGGGATAAAGACGAGGAGTAGGTCTCTGTAGACATTCGGCAAGTGGGGCACATTCGAACGACGGTACTATGGTTTGCAACGAAACTTTATTACATGTCTTATGATACACAGCACGATACATATACGTACGTTTGTATATATAAGTATACCTATAATCTAATTGTTAGTAGAGCGTTGAAGAATGCTGGCAACGTTCTCGCTGTTGATACACATAATTTTGTACACGATCGAGAATTCTTCGATGGAAATTGTCCAAATTGGTGGCGGATCATCGTTGATCCTTGCGTTGCGATGCGAGCATCCTTCAGGCCGTGTCATTCGTGCATCTCGATCAAATCTGGAGAGCTCTCGGTGGAGCTGTCGAGATCGGTGCAGTCGTCGCGTTTAGGTGGGCAGTCCGGTCGTTGACGGAGATGGCGGTGGTCGATCAGGCTTTAAAGGACGTAGTACGGTGCGGAGTAAGCCGAAGCGTAATAAGGGTAGCCTGCGTACGCCGCGTAAGGGTAGCTGTAGGCGGACGTGTACGCGACCGGGGCGGTGTACGCGCTGTAGGCTACAGGCGCGGTGTACGCCGCGCTCAACAGCAACCCTCTCTTGTTCCTCGCCGCGAGTTCAGCTTCCGGCGCCAGCGACTCGCTCTTGACCGGCTCGATCGACTCCGTTTCCAGGGGTTTCGCCAGAGCTACGCCGACCAGGGCGAGCAAAACGACAGCCTGAAAATGGTGACACGAATCTCGTCAAATAAAACATTTTTAGCTAGCGGCAGACTTAATTAAATATTTTGACGATATTTGCATCTCGAGCCTAGGTTTACGGACCACACAGAAATTTCAAGTTAACACACTCGCGACCGACAGATACTTTACGTTCCTAATACCGAGTACCGACGAAAATAATAAAATTCGTTAGTACATATGTACATATTGTATGTGTATACGTGATGTCTATTTATGTACATAGTTATAATGAATCATTTATTTGGAAACATCATCAAACCTGTCATTTAATTTGGACACATTTCTTCGATAGACATAGAGTATAGTATATATTTAGAATAAAAAATGTATTTGGACACATCAAACCTATCAATTAATTTAGACAAATACTTATGGGATCGACTGTATGTAGCGTATAAAATAAAAAGATTTTCATAATGGCTTCATAACCAGAAATAGAATTCGAAGTGACGTGTCGCGAATGTGTTGAGAGCCAGAACCATTTACATTTTGTCCACGTAAAGTGTCAAGGCATACGATCAAACTACTTCGGTAATAAACATAAACGCGATCGAAATGTTCTTAAGAAGGAACGTGAGAGAGAAAAGCAACGCAGTGGAGATACTTTGAGTCTCCGTAAAGCTAGTTTTAATCAGAGGTCGAAACAGCTTTGGAACTTGGTCGGTAGATTCGGTTGAAACAGTTGAAATTGGAACTTTAATGGCGAACGATCTCACGTTTGAAGCTTTCGAGTTGAACGGGCAAATGGCAATTTTAGTTTGAATACGGTTTGTTAGGAACGAATATAATACGTAGACGGGAAAAGATTCACTTTCACGTACACTTTGAAAATCTCGATGTTCTTTGTTATTATGTATAGCACGATATTATACTGTCAAGTGGAAGTATTGCCTACACTATAAATATGGTGTTTCATTTATTTCTTGAAACTTTTTCGAATAAAAGTCCCGAGATAACTGTTTCCACGGAACTTCTATTATGAGAGTTCTAAAATATCTGTTCTGCGAGAGCAGTTTTTTAAAAAGTTCCCGTGGCGCTAGTTCCTCTCGAAATATATCACAAAAACGAATGTTTTTATTACAGAATGTCACAGAAACGAATATCAACTATTTCTTTTTCCCCTCCTGTCAGATCTAACGAGTCAGACACTTAGTTTCTTTGGGATATTCGAAGTAGATCGACGCAACTTTTCACGAAACTAAAGACGGGATGTAGTAGCCCGTATGCTAACCGTGGATCGAGTTAAATTGTTCCCAGTTTCGGAAGCAAATACACCCCGAAGCGTCGGAACGGAGCCTCGTAACCCCGACGTACGAACTTCATCGAGAATATTCGTAATTTTGGTACGAATTCTAATCGTTTCGAAGTTGCCCCGGGAGCAGAATGCGCGGCTCGAACGTGTCGTCCCGTGTTATGGAGATTAAGCTTGCACGGTAAATGAGTTTAAGCGCGTTTACTCACTGCGATGCACTTCATGTTGTACGTTGGAGAGGAGGTGACAAGCTTGAAAGGCCGATGAAAATCGATTGATGCTCGAAACACCGGACTGGCCCTCTTTTATACCTATCCGATCGCGTCGACGTGGATACGTGCATCGACTGGCGATGTTTACCTCGCGTAATCGTGCATAATTATTAACCTCTCGGCGTTTGTTCGTCGCAGGGCTGCATCGGGAACGCGTAGCCTCGGTTGGGTCCGCTCGTTGCTGACGAAGTTGAGTAACGCGGCCTTGGCCATTGTCCAAACCGAGACACGGGAATCGTTGGACGTTCCGCCGATTTTCGAGGTTTTCGTAACGCTTGAATCACGAATGCGGACTGCTTCGCACCGCGAGTGCATACGAAAGTATTGCGGCAAGCGCGATTTTCGTGAATCTTGTAGTAGATCTTGCTCTACGGGTTCTTGACATTGCATTAGAACCACAAGTTTCAATGGTTTTGGTCGAATTTGATGGTGACATACAGTCAGTCGCGAGTGTATGCGTACCTCCTATGTTTATTAAAGAAATTTGTCGAAATTAAATGACAGAATTGATCTATTCACCCAATTTTTTCATTATAAATATGTACATGCGTAAAGTTTATTCATGTATGTATTTATAATGAAACATTTATTTAGAAACATCAAAACTATCGTTTATTATAACAATTTGAACAAATTTCTTCAATAGATATATGAATACTTATGGGGCTGACCGTATGTAAGGTATGCATTTTAATATTGCACGTGCATCTGGTTACAATAGCATCTATATATACTTCTACATTTTTCAATAACTACTATCAACGGAAAAAGTGTCTTTTACTCAAAAATATTTAATCCTTGGTATCATTTGAAAATGTTTGACTTATATCTATTTCTCGTCTGGTCTTGAAGCATCTATGCGTTTCTAGTAAAGAACAGTTCCAAAGGATGTAATCTATCCGTTTTTGTAACGAATGTATCGGAAAGACGTGGAACCATTTCGAAACAAATCTACATCTACGTGGACGATGTCGAAGAACGGCCGACCTTGCGGATAGGTCGTCGTGGCGATCCCTTGTCCAGAGTGGGAGTACAGTTCCCCTATTGAAATTCTATTCGGGCGAGTTACGCGCAACCTCGTCGCGTGTAGTCATTTTCACGACGACGATTTAGCTATTCCGTCCTTGTATCCAATTGGTCCTCGTTTGCGGCCACGAAACCTAAATAGCGCGTCGTTCGACGGGTGAACGCGAAGGGCCCGGAAGAGGAGTCGTTCACGCTTCTCGAAAATTCATAAACCGGGGAGATCCAATTTGGAGAAGCTCCGATCGATACCATTGAATTTCCCGTTTCTGTCGAACTTGCTGAAACGCGTGTGCGATAGGGGCACCAGGCAAAATGAAATTTGAAAACCCCGTCGATAGAAAGATGAGTAAAGGACATGTTTAAATACAAGATGGCAAAACAAATTAATTATACGACGTTACAGAAGCGTCTGAGTCAGAACGATAATTCAGAAATAATGTAGACACTTATAGGTCAAATTAAATTACAGATTGTACATACTGATTTATATAAAAATGTCAAAGGAGAAGAAAGTCGAGGACGAATATTATTGTATAGAGAACAAATTTACTATTTGAAGTAGATTCATTCGACTAAGAACATCGAATTAGAACTAAAAATTCCACTTTTCTAACTGTAATACTGTACGATAAGAAATTGTCCTGTTACTGTTACGAGAGTGATGTAAATTGCGCGAATGACGAGCAGCTTCAAATGTGAAGAATGAATCGATTTGTTCCACGTTTATTCCTCGATTTCTTCCAGTAAAAAAATGCTTCAAGTGCCCCACTGGCCAGAAGAGGGGCTAAAAAACGTCGAAGTAGGAGTCTTTCGGGAGGCAGGGAGGCACAGGCTCGTCGGAGCGTCGTTGACTCGTTATTCTCGGCGAGATGATGACGTCGGCGGCGACGGCGACGACGCGATGCGCCGCGAAGTGGGCAATAACGGCGTCGAGAGGACGGAAACGATAACGTTTAAGTAGCGCGTCGAGTATATCGCGCGCACCAGCACCAAGAAAATTTGATTAAAGACGCGAAAAGGTAGCTCGACGGTTTTCCTCGGTTATGTTAATGCTCGCAGGGCGGCCGCGTTTCCTTTGCTCGTTAACCGGAAGAAAGAAAGGACGGACAAATTATCGGGCTTTGCTTACTCTGGCAAGCGACTAGACGTTTGAGTAATACGTGCCCAGTTGCCGAGATCAGACATTTAGCACGAGTGCGACGAAAAATTGACAAAGACGAATACCTGCGACACAATACCTTCCGACGGTTCGCGGAACTTTGTCAGGGAAACTAAAAGTAACGTGAGGATATCTAATTTTAGATTTCTCGAATGCATTGTTTCGGTGTCACTTTTGCAATGCTATCATTGCAGAGGATGGTTGGAAATTGAGAAGTAAGGGGGTAAATTTGGAAACCTCTCTTTAGTATGTTGATTTGAGAAAAAATTAAAATATACTAACAGGAAGACAGAATCTAATTAGATGAAACGGAGACAATGGCGGTCCTTGTATATGGTATTATTAACACATTCGTGACCGGCAGATATTTTACGTTTCTAATACCCAGTACTGGCAAAAATATTAAGCCTTAGAAGCCTGATTTTTTAAATTAAATTTAAAAAAAATATCATTGCATTTATTATTTGAACGGTGTGAAGAGGCTCAGACGCACTTTCGCGAGTGTTGATTCTCCTTACACGTTGCTTTTGTCACTGACAGGTAAACATCTTGCGCGTAGCTATCTCGATACTGTACGCAGAACATACTTGTATACCCAGCTTCAAAACTATGAGAATAAATTTCGCTATCTTCCCGTACCTGTCCAGGCTGCTTCCGCTCCGAGCGTGTTTGCACGGCACTTGCCGTCTATTTAGTTTCTTCCCGTTGGAGGGTCTTGGACGAAGAAGGGGAATAAATACGACGGTTTAATCAACGTCCAATTTCTCCGCGAGAGAAAAAGGCAACGACGAACAGTCAATATCGGATCCGTCTAAACAGGAGTAAGGTTCGATCAATGTCCAGGGGCGAATCTATCGATACGGGGGCTGTATCGCTTCGTTCCACGTCCCATGCGATTTCGCGATTGGCTATTCACCGAACTGCCGTCGTAAAGCGCGGATAAAAAGGGTTCTAAAACGAATCCGAAGCTCCTCCGATCCATAGCCGCGGAAAGCGTATTCTCGACGCATCCGTGCAACTACTCAGCCTTTGGGACGCGACGAAAGAGATTTTTCCTCCCCAAAGCGAAGATTTCGTCTCGTCGGTTCGCGCACGAACCGCCCCTTGTTCCGTTTCTACTTCTCCCGGAACGAAGATTTTTAATTAAAACTGCATCGAGTACCTGCAACTTTCTTTAGGAGCTTCTTTCCGTCATCGGCGAATTCATCGATTTCTTTAACGGAGCGAACGATCCCAGACGCGGAATACCGTTATACTTTAATCGAGGCATTTCCTCGATCGCTCCTCAATGACCGGCATTTCGATTAGTTGGCGTTTCGGGCGCAGCCGAGCGGAAAATGGACGAGACGTTTTTCGTTAGGAGACTTTTCCAGCTCGTGCTTCTCCCGACAGATCAGTTTTTAGAATGATTATGCTCGTGGATCTTTTCGTTTCGTAAGCCCTCTGTTGCATGAATTATTTCGACATCCATGGAGTATTATGTCGGTGCAAAAGCAACTGCTGTTTTTAATCTTTAGCTTTGAATGACTATAATTTTTTTTGATCATAAACTTTATTCATCAAAATAAAGATCATTAGATACCATTAGCGATATTCTGACCAAAGATCTCGTTGATATTGCAAGTCGTTTCTGCCCCTTTTTGAACTCTTTTGAACTCGTGCAGAAACATTGCTCGTAACTGTTGCTTTTCTAGCATTGCTAAACTAAACAAAATATATCTTATATCAACAATTATGTAATATTTGTGCCAATGAAGTTTGACAATGTAAAGTTTAACAATATGAAAACCACAATTCCATTGCACCAACTTATTAATTGAGCCGTCCACCACACAAATCTCGAAACCACCACCTCGAAACTCTTTCAGTGTTAATTTTGATCTCTAAAATTCAGCGGAATTAATTCGTACGCGACAAAAACATTTCCCTATTGTCTCGTCTTCCCAAATCTGTAGAACCGCCGTAGCCTCGAGATATTCACACGCAAATTGCGCGTCTAGCTGAATTTCGCAAGAATTTCTTTTCATCGCGTTCCAAGTCAGGCACACCGCGCAATGGAGGGTTAGGCTTATTATTTGCGGGTAGGTATTTTTTTCGGGAGCAACGGCCGAGGCGATTTCCGCGTCAAGTTCGCTACGTGCAGCGAGAATGCACGGCGCATGCACGGACGCCGAGCGTCGCGGCGAGGCTCGTGGAAAAGGAGAATCGCAGCCGGTGGAGTGCCGCCATTGTTTCGTCGGTCTTTAGAACACTCTCCGCATTAGCGTCGTGAATTGGTACAATGCCGGGAGCTCTCTCTTTTTCTCCTCTTTAACTACTTTTTCCTTCCCCTTTCGCCTGTTTCTTCCCTTCTTTTCCCGTATTCTTCGTTTCCGTCCGTCGCTTACCAGCTACGTACCACTTTTCGCTCTCCACCGTCGACGCTTCTCCTCGGACTTCTCTTCTTCGTCTCGACTTCCTTTCTCCGCGGGAAAGGACAGCATCGTAATCGAGACAAATTTCGAGAAAGTTCGCGGAAATACGAGGCAACTCGAAACATTAGCGGAGACGATTACGTCGCGATTCACGTTTCCTCGTAAAACATTTTCTTGAATTTTCACGAATAACGAACGTTCAAAAAACAAACTGCAACTGGTAGCCACCGGTACTTGAACCGATTCTGCTCGATGTTAACATTGGAATTTATAATATACCTTCGATTTTTCATTGACAAACTAATATATACATGCGTGGAGTTCATTCATGTACATATTTACAATGAAAAATTGATTTGTCATAGCAACGTCTATGACAATCGGGCATGAACTTATGCAATCATCTAGTAGATACGAATACTTACGGGACTAAACTGTAT